GAGAGCAAGAGAGTGAACAGACAGCCTACAGAACAGGAGAGAAGCATGGCCAGCCATGCCTCAGTTGGGGGTTAGTATCTAGAATATATAAAGAACTCAGAAAATTAAAAAATAAACAAAAGCTATCGCTCCACAAGTACCAAACAGTTCTAAAAAGAAGAAACACCATCAATAAACATTTTTTAAAAAATGCTCAACACCCTTAGCCATCAAAGAAAGGCAAAATAAAAATAAACTTGCATTTCACCGCAGCTGGAACGACCATGATCAAGGGAACAAAGGACATTAGATGCTGGGGAGGACGTGTGGAAAGAGGAGTCAGGTGCTGGGGAGGACGTGTGGAAAGAGGAGCACCGTTCATTTCTAACGGAAGTGTGAACTGGTGTCACCACTGTGAAAATCAGTATGGAGGTTCTTCAACAACAACAAAACAGTTCTAATAGAACTACCATATGGCACAGCTACACCATTTCTGGGCATATCCAAAAACGCCGTATTCTACCATAGAAGTTCTAGTTCATCCAGGTTGATTGCTGTGCTGATCAAAAAGTTAGAAAATGGGAGCACTTAGATATTCACCAACAGAGGAATAGATAACAAAATTGTAACACACATAACAATGGACTATTCAGCCGTCAAAAATATAATAAATGAGATTTGCCAGGAAATTATTCTATTGAGTGATCCATACTCAGAAAGACAAACACAAGTTTGCATATGTAGATCCAAGCTTCTAATTGTTATATACGTGTGCATAAGTGGGTTGTTTGAATGACGAAGGTATAGGTCTGGAAATCAGAAAAGGGGTTGAGAGGGGAAATGGAGGTTTTAAGAAAGAGAAGAGGAGCTGGGTGGCGGTGGCACACGCCTTTAATCCCAGCACTCGGGAGGCAGAGACAGGCGGATCATTGTGAGTTCAAGGCCAGCCTGATCTACAGAGCAAGATCCAGGAAAGGCGCAAAACTACACAGAGAAACCCTGTCTCAAAAAACAAACAAACAAACAAACAAAAAAAAAAAAAAAAAGGGAAGAGTGTAACAGAACACCTGGGACATGAGAGTAGAAAGTAGGAGGCGGGGGTGGGTGACAGACGGGTGGGGAAGAAGTGGGGAGAAGGATCAACAAAAATAAATGTATGAAAATGCCACAATGAGCTGGGCGGTGGTGGTGCACGCCTTTAATCCCAGCACTCGGGAGGCAGAGGCAGGC